ACAAATGACGGCTCACTTTACCGCGGTGAAATTTTTATCTGTTTCTTACCAGTGTGTCTTACACATGGCCTCTGGCCTCCAGATGAAGATGTTTTCTTCTCGTCTGTAAGCACAGACGGCGTTCGGGTCGTCATCGGGCAGCTCGGGGTACTCGGAGAAGCGCCCGTTATCGTGCGGGCGGTGGACCAGCACGGTATACATCACTTCCTGTTTGTACAGGGAGGTCTTGAACACTCGCAAGACGGGTGGAGCACGGGAGCAAAACTGGAGATAAATAAACAGGTTTCAGTGGAGGGAGCGCTGCACACCACGCAGAGATGTGACAAGTGCTCAACTTAGAGCTCTTTGTTGGTGTCAGACTGTTTCGTGAAAGGCTGGTCACAGATTTATAATCTTGGTTCCTCCCATGTGTTTGGTGCTTTGGGGTCAGGTACAAGGACCAGACTGAGAATGAGTGAAAAAGCAGCCAATGTCTAAATAAAAGCTCTGAAAAGGCTTCAGGAAATCTGTAGAACTCTTTAAATATCACAATCAAGTCTGGCTGTTGGAAGCAAAATGTAAGGAAGACGTTTACTCACCTCTACACCGAGGTTATTACATGGTAATAGAACTACAACAAAAATTAGACCTTAAATACAACAAACTGAAACTGAATGAAATGAAATTTAATGAACATTGTTGAAATCTCCCAATTCTTTGAATCTTTGGGCTGAAGGAAGGACAATACTCGGTGTATAAATGCTCAATCAACAATCCTTTATTTCCATACAATTTCCACACAATGAGCATAAACCATCCGGATGGGGAGACATGCATGAAGAGGGTCACAGCAAAATCTCAAAATGGTGATGGGTTACACAGCTTCTTATACCCTCTACTGGCCCCCACCTAGTCGTAAAAGCCTAAACATTCACATTCTTTCTCTGTCACGGCGCCTAAGTTATGACCTCGGCTCCCTGTCTTTCTGCCCCCTACAAAGGTGGGGGCAGGGAATGTGGTCTGTTTCTGCTATTATCAGCACAAGGTCCTTTGCACACAACATTCACTTCATGATTTAGCAGTCTGACATGTCAAGAAAACAGCGTAATACATTCACAGCAGATCAATGGCAGCGCATACCTGTCTAACAGAATCCAAAGATGGTCACATTCTTTCAACCCCACAAATATAATGGAACACCTGTCTAACAAACTACAAAAATGATCATGTTCTTTTAACCTAAAAATATAAGGGAAACTAAGCTACATACTTTGCACACAATCTAGACTAAGGAATATATTTATGTTCTACAGCTGTTAAGATAATTCAGCTACCTTGACTACAGGTATAAGATACCATACGTTTAGAATAATAATCTCACAACATGAAAAACTAAAGTAAAATCAATTTACAA